TTAAAGCTGCTCTAATCTCTGTGATTCAATTTAATTCAAGTTTATTTATAAAGCGCCAAATCACGACAAGAGTCGTCTCAAGTCACTTCACATAATAAACATTCCAATTCAGGTCAGTTCATTAAGCCAATCAGAAATAATGTTTCCTATATAAGGAACCCAGCAGGTTGCATCAAGTCACTGACTAGTGTCAGTGACTATACAGCAATCCTCATACTAAGCAAGCATGCAGCGACAGTGGAGAGGAAAACTCCCTTTTAACAGGAAGAAACCTCCAGAGAATCCTGGCTCAGTATAAGCAGCCATCCTCCACGACTCACTGGGGATGGAGAAGACAGCACACACACACACACACACACACACACACACACACACACACACACACACACACACACACACACACACACACACACACACACACACACACACACACACACACACACACACACACACACACACACACACACGCACGCACGCACGCACGCACGCACACACACACACACACACCAAGCAATGTGTCCACGGTTACACCGTGATTGCTTAGTAAATATTCTATCTGGCGAGAGATAAACTTTATTGTATTTATCCTAGTGGATCTATAATTAAACGGATAAACTAGTAGTAGCACATCCAACGTCAAGGAAACCATAAAGTTATTATCAGGAGAGGGAGAATGTTTAAGTGGTTAGCAGCAGTGTGCTAGTCGATGGCCCCCTCCATGAGGCCACCACAGCTCAGCAGAACATCGTTGTAGCTTCTTCTGGGGATAAAAACACTTAGAGAGAAAATAAAGTTAACAGCTGATATAGCAGGAAATAATACAGTTAAAGAGCAGACTGTAGAAGAAAGCAGTTGAGTGTGGAAAGTGGTCAGTGTGTCCTCCAGCAGTCTAAGCCTATAGCAGCATAACTACAGAGATAACTCTGGATAATCTATCCTATTTAGATGTAGGCATGTTGGAGTCAGGGCAAGGGAGAGCCGTCTTTACCGACTGTACACTCCACCTCCCTCTACTCCCCCACTTGTCCAGATCTAGGCTAACATCAGATTTTAACCATAGGCCCTATCAAATAAAAATGTTTTAAGCCTAGTCTTAAAAGTAGACAAGGTGTCTGCCTCACGGACTAAAGCTGGGAGCTGGTTCCACAGGAGAGGAGCCTGATAACTAAAAGATCTGCCTCCCATCCTAATTTTAGATATTCTTGGAACCACCAGTAGACCTGCAGTCTGAGAGCGAAGTGCTCGGTTAGGAACATATGGAACAATCAGATCACTGATGTATGATGGAGCTTGATTATTAAGAGCTTTATATGTGACTTCGTGTTCCGAAGTCGACGCCTCCTCATGTCCTGAAGTCGACGCCTCATCCACTCCAGAGGTCGACGCCTCATCCACTCCATAGGTCGGCTCCCTCCAGTCCAGAGGTCGACGCGCCCTCCGGTCCAGAGGTCGACGCGCCTTCCAGTCCAGAGGTCAACTCCGTCTCCAGTCCAATGACCCCATTTCCAGTCCAGTGGTCGACGCCGTCTCCAGTCCCGTGGTCGACGCCGTCTCCAGTCCCGTGGTCGACGCCGTCTCCAGTCCAGTGGTCGACGCCGTCTCCAGTCCAGTGGTCGACGCCGTCTCCGGTCCAGTGGTCGACGCCATCTCCAGTCCCGTGGTCGACGCCGTCTCCAGTCCAGTGGTCGACGCCATCTCCAGTCCAGTGGTCGACGCCGTCTCCAGTCCAGTGGTCGACGCCGTCTCCTCCAGTCCCGTGGTCGACTCTGTCTCCTCCAGTCCCGTGGTCGACGCCATCTCCAGTCCAGTGGTCGACGCCGTCTCCTCCAGTCCAGTGGTCGACGCCGTCTCCTCCAGTCCAGTGGTCGACGCCATCTCCAGTCCAGTGGTCGATGCCGTCTCCAGTCCAGTGGTCGACGCCATCTCCTCCAGTCCAGAGGTTGACGGTGTCTCCTCCAGTCCAGTGGTCGACGCTGTCTCCTCCAGTCCAGTGGTCGACGCTGTCTCCTCCAGTCCAGTGGTCGACGCTGTCTCCTCCAGTCCAGTGGTCGACGCTGTCTCCTCCAGTCCAGTGGTCGACGCCGTCTCCTCCAGTCCAGTGGTCGACGCCATCTCCAGTCCAGTGGTCGACGCCGTCTCCTCCAGTCCAGTGGTCGACGCTGTCTCCTCCAGTCCAGTGGTCGACGCTGTCTCCTCCAGTCCAGTGGTCGACGCCGTCTCCTCCAGTCCAGTGGTCGACACCATCTCCAGTCCAGTGGTCGACGCTGTCTCCTCCAGTCCCATGGTTGATGCCATCTCCAGTCCCATGGTCGATGCCATCTCCAGTCCAGTGGTTGACGCCATCTCCAGTCCCATGGTCGATGCCATCTCCAGTCCAGTGGTCGACGCCATCTCCTCCAGTCCAGTAGTCGACGCCATCTCCTCCAGTCCCATGGTCAACGCCATCTCCAGTCCAGTGGTCGACGCCGTCTCCAGTCCCATGGTCGATGCCATCTTCAGTCCAGTGATCGACGCCGTCTCCAGTCCAGTGGTCGACGCCATCTCCTCCAGTCCAGAGGTTGACGCCGCCGCCTCCAGTCCAAAAGTCAAGAACATCTCCTCCAGCATCTCTGCCTCCGGTCACCGGTGGTCCTGCCCTCGCCAGACGCAGGCCCCCAAGAGCCCATCGTCACCTCCTCCTCTGCCCCAGACGCAGGCCCCCGGACTCTACTGGTCCCTGCCTCCTCTCCATCGGTCCCTCTTGGCCCTCCCTCTGGGTCCCCCTCCTCCCACCCTGCTCCGTGTTCCTGTGGGCGTCTGGAATCGCCCTTTGAGGGGGGTACTGTCACACCCTGTCCTGTCTCCCCGTTTGGTTCAGCCATGTGTCTCTGTTAATTGCTCCCACCTGCCTCTCGTTTTCCAATCACCCAAGCTCCCAGCCCTCTTGTATTTAAACCCCTTCAGTTCTGTGTCTCGTGTTGGATCATTGTTTCTATGTTAGCGTGTTCTCCATTAAAACCTTTAATCGTTCAGGTCTGATTGCCTACCTTCTTCACCCGCGTGTGGATCCTCACCTCCGCTTCATTCACTGCCACGCGCTGACACTAACATGTCCATAAAACAGACCCGTGTTGCTCTTCTGTAGACTAGAGGAGAAGCACTAGCTGGTTACCTCAGCCTGCCGCATAGGAGCTAAACTCCAGAGAGGAGCCAGATGTCACACGTCTCTTAATCAGCTGATAGAGGGTTGTTGGTGGAAAACAATCGCATTCGTAGCTCAGCATGGAGCTCTTTCTAGAGCCATCCATCGGTAGAAGAACTGGTGTGAAGCTCGACCTCTCAGAGGCTCAGAGCAGGTGGATCTGTTCTGGAATACCTGAATGTTTACGACATTCATCTGCAGGGAAAACCAGGTTTCTGGGATCTGAAGTAAAATCAGCTGCAGGGATCTACAGGTTAGAGTGGCGTATCCCAAAGCCAAGGTCATGGTGCCACTGGGGTACAGCAAACACCAGGCAGGGGTCTCAGGATGATCTGCAGAATGAAGTAAATATTGTAGCTGTGTGTGTGTGTGTGTGTGTGTGTGTGTGTGTGTGTGTGTGTGTGTGTGTGTGTGTGTGTGTGTGTGTGTGTTGCCCAGGGACACAATGACTGAAACAGCCTGAGCGGGATGTGAACCTGCAACCCTCTGGTCATGGGGTGGGACCTTAACTCCTCTGCCACCGTTCCTCCACAGCGTGAAAAATTAAAAACAAAAAATAGTTTAAGAAGTAAGAAGAAAGTAAAACCTTTTAAAAGTTAAAAATGATTAAAACAAAAAGAAGTGTCTTTGATAGCATTGCATTAACAAATATAATAACAATAACAAGAATAATAATAAAATCTAGAAGGTTACAGCAGTTCTCTTTACGGAGGTAACTGGTCTCCCAGACATTCTCATGTCCAAGTTGGAAACCGGGATGGTGGTCCAGACATGGCCTCCCACTCTGACTAACCCTCTCTCCCATCATGCATTTCAGCTTCAACTGAAAAAACTCAGTCTAGCGCTGCGTTAACCCCAAACCTCCACCCTAACCCTAAATCAGGCCGAACCCATAATCAGTCCATGCTGGAGAAACGTCCAACAATAAATACTGACGTGTCACCATCTGCTCTCAGTGTGACGAGGAACAACACATTTGATTCCAGCATCTAGAAACAGACAAAAGACAGAGTTCTGATGATGCTTTCAGCTAAACAACAAACCAAACTCCAGCCAAGCTGAAGGTGGGAGATGCTCTGCTCTGTGGTGCGTTGGTCTTGGCATCACCTTCAAGTGATGTCATCACCTTCAAGTGATGTCATCACTGCGATCATCCTCATCATGGCTGCTGCTCCCCTGCTCTGGCCCAGAGGATGACGACAGCCTCAGCTGTCAGCTAAAGAGTTCGGTCAGGAGTTGCTGCTGCTGCTTTGATAGATGCTGAATGTTCAGACTGGATCAGAGCTATCAGACCGGACGGGAGGATCCTGGATCACAGAGGACCTCGAGCTACACAAGGAACCTGGTGAGGAACCATTAGGGACACCTGAAGCTGCAGGAAAAGCTGGGGATCATTGTTCCCTCTCCTGGACCTGGACCTCTCTGTCCACCATAAAGCCCACTTAGAAACTGGATCTGATCAAAGCTCAGCTGACAGAGTGACCCCTGGGGTCAGGTAGGTGTTTTACAGGATGGAGCTCACTTCTAGAGCTTCAATAGGACTAGGTTTTACCTGAGGCTCTCACAGGTGACAGTTTTGTCTCCATGGCTGAGTTCTGCTGGAACAGAACCTCTCTTTGGTCCACCTCCACCACCCACCCCCAGGAGAAAGGGTGATGGTTGGATTCTTACAAACAACAGAGGGAAGAAATTCCAGAGCAGGAGAGGCAGAGAGGTGCTGAGAGATGATGTTGCTGATGGGGCGTCGAGGAGAAAGAGCAACAAACAGGAAGAAGTTTGTTTTAGGCAACAAGTGACAGACATTCAGCTCTTTACTCACCACTCTCGCTCTTCTCTATCACATCCACCGTCTCGCCGGCCTTCAGGTTTATCTCTGAGTTCTCCTGCCGCTCGTAGTTGGCCACGGCCACGTACTGCTCCAGCACCATGGCCTCCGAGCCGTCAATCCCTGAGGGGAGGAAACAGGCTGTCAGCCACCTGCCCGCCGTCACACCCTGCAAACGCCCGCTGCACCCCAAAACGCCGCCCCGCGTCCGGTGCACCGCCATCCGCCGACCCCTACTTCCTGCCCCGTCCAATCACAGCGTGTCCTCTCCTTTTGGTTGCATTGTCCCAAAAGTCTGACCATACAGCAGCGTAGACCCCCGGCCCAAAGCAAACATCTGAGGAGCATCGGAAATCAAAACAGAAGGAGGGAGGGCGAGAAACGTTTGGTCAGGAGCTGCCTCTCCAAGACCGTATCCGAACCAGGGAATCCTAAATCCAAGAACCGGAGAGGAGAAGAGGAAAGCGGGATCTGCTGAAGACGGGGGAGTGAATGAGTGGAAGAACGGTGAAGTTTCCTTGTGGAAAATCAACAGTGTGGTTGGAAGGAAAGGCCTCCCCTCCACCGCCTCTGGGAGCCAGCCGTTGGACAGGCAGTCGGAGGGGGGGTGGGGGGGGGGCGGGAACACCAATCATGGAAGTCAGCACTGCCGGCCTTAAATAGAAACATATGAGTGGAGCAGAAAGAGGGAGAGGCTGAGGGAAAGGAGGATGGGTTCGTGTTTATGTGAAACAGCTCGGGTTCTAGTAGAGACCTACAGCAGGTTTCATTTATCTGCTTCTGAAGAAATCAGAACCACTTCTCTGTAAGTTACCCGTCCCAGAAGCTCCGGATCCCATCAGTGACATAACCAGGAGCTAAAGCTGGAAATGATTCCTGATCTGCTGAAAAGCTACAAACGCTTAAAACCAGCAAGCTGCATAAACAAGAAGCTGCATGGTTGGAAGATTTAAGGCCGTAAAATAAACGAACAAACCAAGAAGTCTGAACTAAAACATCTCTGAGCTGTTTTCTCCTGGTTTAAGTCAGGTCAGAGTTAACAGATCCTAGATGGAACCCCACACATTATTCCTTCCAGATTCTCCTGGAGGAGGCCAAGGAGTTCCCAAAGAGGAGAGATAATCCCAGGTCTCCTGCACCTTCCTGGAAAACCTCCAGATGGAAGAAACCAGGAGGTGTCTTAATCAGATGCCTGGACCTTCTCAGCTGACTCTTTTTGATGAGGAGCAGCGGCTCTACTCTGAGCTCCTCACCTCATCTTTAAGGTAGGAAGATCATTTCACTTGAGTGGATCCATGTTTGATTCCCTTCATCCCTGATCCAGATCTCAGGAGGGTTTAGTTGGACCAGAGTAAGTCCAGATATCTGCTGTTCAGCTCAGACTGGATCAACTCCTTCAATATTGTGGTCCTTGCGTCCGTGGGTTCATCTCACCTCCATCTACAGGGCTCAGTAACCCCAGTTCTCCAACAGGACTCATCTTGGAGAAGAGGAAGCCTTCTCCAGGTTCACAAAACCCATGGAGAACCAACGGTCCATGACCCCTTCAGAAACTCTGTCAGGGTGAAGATCAGCTAGGCTGATCTACCTGAATCTGACTCATCGTTTACGTTAAAGAGGTCCTTCACTCATATTTTTAACACATGTGCAGTGGTCTCTAGTAGAAGTCAGTTCCTTCCCAGTTGTACTCGGGAGAAAAGTGCACCTGTTTCAGCACGTAAAAGTCAGCTGGAGGGGAAAGTAGCTGCAGAAGGCGGGATTTGGAATCTTATTTCCTGGTATTTGGAAATCTTTCCTCCAATTAGCTCACAGCAACTCAAATCTACCACTGACTCTGTTTGCTCTGCAATGTTGATGTTTTATCTCCACAAATACCCCGAGCCTGAAGGAGCATCTGCCGTGGAGTTGCTAATGCTAACAATTAGCTTAGCCGAGACGAACAACATCAGCCGTCCCTGTTGGGAGTCAAGATGGGTGAGTCTATGAATGTTAAGTGACAGTGTGACATCAAGATTTTCTAATTCACCGTCTGTTTTCTATCAGAAGCTAAAGCAGGAGATACTGTAGGTGTAGGAGACTATTTTCACGTTCAGCCTGCATGAAAAACTCAGCGTGGCCGAGTATTTTCTAAAATAATAAGTAAAAACTGGCTTATCAGCAGATTGGTGACTAAATCTAATTTTTATCAATTAAGAAGGATCACCAGGTAAAGACCTTGTTGTCAAAAAAGGATTTTGAAACAGTAATTCATGCTTTTATTATCAAGTCTTGATTACTGTAATTCTTTGCACCTTGGTGTTTCACAATCCCACTTCTCGCGTCTTCAGGTGGTGCAGAATGCTGCTGCACGGCTGCTCACGGGGACAAATAAGATGGAGCATGTTACTCCTGTCCTGGCCTCACTGCACTGGCTGCCTGTTTGTGTTCGAATCCAGTACAAGGTGCTTCTATGGCCTTGCTCCAGATGACCTCTCTGAGCTACTGGCTTTTTACTCCCCTGCACGGTCTCTGAGGTCGGCTGACAGGACGCTCATGGAAGTCGCTAAAACAAGACGCAAGCTGGGAGGTGGCAGGGTTGTCTCTGTAGCGGCCCCTAGGCTCTGGAAAGCACTGCCTTTGAGAATGAGGTCGGCCTCTTCACTGTCTGGGTTTAATTCTCTTTTGAAAACCTGTTTTTATGATTTGGCTTTTACCTCAGCATGAGAGTCTTTGTAGCGTTAAGCTTTATTTTTTATGCATTTTATGTTGTTGTTTTTTAATGTTTTAATATCTGTGAAGCACTTTTATGCTGTCGTAGGGTGTTATACAAATAAAGCTGCCTTGCCTTGCCTTTATCAGTGAAAGACCTCTTTGACGGATGAAAGTGTAGGATCACCAGCAGGAGGCGCCATCAGCACCGCCACTGCCATAAACAACAAAACCATCTGAGACAAAGATGGAGAATAAACAAGTTTTCAGAAGTTTACATCAGCTGGTTTCAGCCGTCGCTCGTCACCGACTGTTACTAAAACCCACTGATAGGGGCACCAGCATACCCCCCCCCCCCCCCCACCACCACCACCACCACAACCACCACCACCCCACCACCACCCCCACTGAGTGTTTTTCTTCAGACAAACAGAATAAAGGAAAAGTGGAGAAAGTAACGAGGCAGAAACAAAGAAGTCTAAAGGTTTAAAAGCAGCACGGATCCAGCTTTTATAGGTTTTATGCTGATAATAAAAAACAGTCGTTATGAAACCGTTCTGGCTTTTATTACATTTCTGAGCACACTGGAGGATTTAAATCAAACGTTGTTTTTACAGGAGTTTGTTCTGGACCAGCTCTCCTGGTTCACGCGCAAAACAATTTTCTATTATTAACCAGATTAAGACTCGTAAAAACAACCGTTTAGGAGAAATCTGTACAAATACACATTCAGACTAAAGAATAAAGTTAACTTTAACTTTAAGAGCAGGAGCTAAGCTGTCAGTTAATGAGAGGAGCCCTCCGTGCTCTCTGGTGTTTCAGGTTTCTAAGGTGGAGAAATGATGGGATGGAGGTGGGGAGGAGATCTCCTCTGGACGCAGCATCAAAGCCACAAACAAACTATGTAACAGAATGAAATGACTGTTTCCCTCTCCTCTGACACAGATCTAGTCTGCATGAGATGTTGCCTCAAGGTCTCATGCATTTGTTATAAACTGCTTCCTTTCCAGCCCAAGAGAAGAATGAAGAAAGGACTCTCTCCTTTTAATAGATCAAAGAACTCTATTTTAATAAGCTAATCAAACAAAGTGTTAGTCAATAATAAGATGTGACCAATCTGTGAAATCAAAATATTAATTACATTATTACAATCCTATAGAATATAATAAGTTATATGACTTTAAATGTTTCCACTAGGACTGATCTCACGTAGCGTTAAAAGACATGACACACTGCTTTTACTGATCCAATCAGAATCTGCCAGAACTGACGGAGGCGTGGTTTTGGTGGTGTTTGGTAAATCTGTCATCTTTTCATTCGACCATAAACCAAAACATCCGAAGTATAAAACTATGCCCACGTCATCTTTAACGCCAGTTCAATGCGTTCTAGAGAAGTTGTCGGAGCGACCAATCCGTAACGTTCCTCTTCAGCCGAAAGAACCAACGACGAGCTGGATAAAATCTGTTGCTGTTCCACCTGCTGCAACGGTTCCTTTCAGAATAAAAGCTGAACCATCATGACCCAGGTTTGGGTCTTGTTAGATGCCAACAAAGCTGTCGTGATCCGGAAGTATCTCAAGACTGGTCTGGTCGGCAACCGCTGCTTTTCCTACCGGCTTCGGTTCCAGAGAGGGTCAACCTGGACCTCGACATTCCTGATCTACCCAAAAGGGTACGTAGTCTGACAGAATGGCGTCGAATGTGTTTATGAATCTCCTAACCAAAGCTTAGCGTGAAGACATCACCTTCACTCCCACCAAAACTAATAGTTTCTTCGGATTTGCTGGTTCTGAGCAACATTCCACACTACACCATTCTCCGTCTCATCCACCTTAGTTACACCATACACTTAGTGTTAAAGTCAGTCTAGTTTAATTTGTTTAGTAATAAATCTTTAAACTTTTAAAACTTGACTCTCTCTCTTCTGTTGTCTCTGAGTGAATACGAAGTTTTTACATAATCCCTGCAATAAAAAGTTCGGTTAAAAGTACCCACAGATCCATAAGATTGATTTCATATTTACTATGGAATCTCATGTCTTATGGCTCATTAAATAACATGTAAATTAACTCATTACAACTGTAAACAAAATAAGTAAAGTCAAAAATCTGATATTGTTTTTTAAACTTAGTCACATATAACTCGGATCACAGGAATTCCTTTAGAAAAATGAAAGAAAAATATGTTGTTGTTGTTTTCTTTCATTGGTTAACGTCTCACTGAGGTGATGGTGGTCTGTTCCTCCTCATTTAAGAATGGAACGCTCTCTTTGGGTTGGTAGTTTGAGTCTCTGCCTGAGGAGGAGCTCTGGGTGATGGTAAGATGGAGGAATGAAGCAGTTGATCCAGTCTGAGCCAAACGGTGAATCTAAGGATCGCGTTAACCCTCAACTATGGAGATAAGATCAGGGTCAGATCTGACCCAGAAGCAGATCCTGGATCGTCTTCTTCCATTTGGTGGCCGGGCTCAGCCTTGGACATAAGGAGCTCAGAGTACAGATGCTGCTCCTCCTCATCAAATGGAGCCTTTTGAGGTGGTTCGGAGATCTAATTAAGATGTCTCTGATTCTCATTGGTTTACCGGGCTCAGGGAGGAAACCCAGAACTTTCAGGCGGATCTCCTCTCGGGTCGGGGGACACCTTAGATCTTCCAGGAGAGGCTGGAGCAAGGTCTGGTCTTCCTCCTGGATCTGTTATTTATGGACTGACCTTGGATGAGATAGGAAATCTGTGGATATTTTTCCTAAATTGGATTTGTATTAAAGAAAGTGTTTATTATGATGACCGTGTATGAAGTAGTGCATCAGAGAGCTTTTCAGCAAAACACAACCAAAGAACCTACCTAAACACTAGCTAATAGCCATGAAACGTTAGCCATTAGCCACCCAGCTTAGTAGTAAAGTGTCCGCCCTGGGAAGTCAGGTTATCCCAAAGACTTTATAAAAACGAGACCCAGTGCCTCCCTGCTTGACTCTCGGCTTGAAGAGGTTGGGTTGAGGGGTTAAACCACCAAATAGTTCCCGAGGGCGGCCGTGTTTGCAGCTCACCACTCCCCACTGGGACGGGTCAAATGTGGAGGACAATTTTCACCGCACCACATCTTTAATCTTAATTAGCTGTTAGCCATTAGCTGTTAGCGCTAATACATCTAAAGACAGAGAAATGGTACAGAACTGATTTACAACTAAATATATAAAACATATTTTCATCTAATTAAATGTAAAATGAAAGCAATACAGGTTGGAGAAACAAAGATATATTGAGTGCAATAGATTTATTTTTTCATGCTTGAATTCAACTATGTTGTTTTCCTTGAATCACCTTTTAAATTGTGAATGAGATCAAAGAAAGCAGTCTGGAGTGCTTAATGGGCCACCTGCATATGGTCCCTGTTCTGGTTCTGCGGTTCAGAACAGCTGCCGAGTGGAACGGGTCCAGAAACGGATCAACAGAACTCAAAAATACTGAAAGACGCAGCAGATGCAGAGCAGACGTCCAGAAAGAACCCAAATGTTCAAAATTCACTCAAACCGAGATTCTGCTGGCGCTCAGAGAGCATGCATGTTCAACATGCACACACACACACACTCAGTCATTCACACACACACACACACACACACACACACAAACACTCATTTACACACTCAAACAGTCATTCACACACACACACACACACACACACACACACACACACACACACACACACACACACACACACACACACACACACACACACACACAAATACACACAGGGCTACCTGAGGCCTCTTTCCTCGGGCTGTCTGTAAAGCCGTACATCCAGACTGCAGACGGAGAGAAGAAGGAAAAGAAGCAGAAGGAGAAATTATTCATATGCAGCAACAGAACACACCAGTAACACAACCAGGACCAGTTTGGTACCACATCCACATTTCTAGATCCAGCGCCTGGAAAGGATGAACTAGCCCAAGATCTGTTATGAAGGTTTGAGTGTTCCTCATGCTGAGGTGCATCGACACCCCACCACTAAGAAAACATCTCCTGACCACTCCCAAGTCCAGGACGTGCCACCCCTCCCATATTCCTTTCTATTCCATGTTCAAAACAAAAACAGGACCTTCTACCAGACCAGGAAATTAAATGCCATGTTCCCATAGCAACAGAGACAGGAGAGGGTGGGACATGGATGAACCAGGTGCAGGAGATTATTTTTTCTTATTGGATGTTAAACTAAATTAATCTCTAGGCTTATCTCTTGGAGAAACTATGTACCAGGTTATGACTGCTGGCAACTAGCTGGACACAAGAAAATCTGAAAGTTTCAAGTGAGTCTGAACGGCATTTTAACAGCATGTTTTATACTCGTCCGGTTCACGGCGCAAAGAAAATGATGGCTGTACCAAATGTTCTCAGAAAAGTTTATTCTTAACTTTCACATTTTACCCCACAATAATCAGAACTTTGTTTCATCTTTTGGATAAAATTAGCTGTGATCACGATTTTTGAACGTTTCTAGGAGCCAATGTTGTTCTGGGTTAGATTATAATTTGTCTCACATTCATTTACGTTTGTTACACTGTGGCTCATATTTCTTTCAACCACTGGTGGCACTGTGTAAAGGTGGTAGTGCACTTGTTGTTTTTTGGGCGACGGGAGGTCACACGGTTTTAACTTGATGTGACTATCCAGTCCTACCTTTAGTCACACTCGGGTGGAGGCAATGACTCGCTTCGTTGGTTGGAATACAAACCCAAATGCACCTTTGCCTCCACCTGCACCCAAGTGTGACTAAAGGTAGGACTAGATAGCCACTACATGTTCAAAATTCCAGTGACACCAGAGCAAGGCCCTGTGGCTCACCAGAGCTCGAAACAACATGTGGAGCAGCTAACAGGATAATAAATAAATAATGATTGTTGTTTACATTTTTGTTCCAGTTTATTTACCAAATGTCTTGTTTTTTATTTTTTTTATCTTCATTTTATTCACAAGTTGGTCTCATACCCCTAAAAATGTCTCCCAACTCCCCACTTTCTGGCTCGCTGAAACTAAACTGGGTTTCAGAATGGTTCTAGACTGGTTCTAGACTGCTTGAGATGGGAAGCTGTTGCCTTAAACTACTTTGAGGGGAAAGATGAAATCAAGGTCGCACTGAGAGCTATCAAAAACATCTGAAGACTTTTAATGATTATGTTTTAGAGGTTTGAGTAAAAGGTTGAATATGGAACACTTATTTTAAATAAAATAATACCTCCACGGGGCATTTAGAGGAGGGCAGAATGAAGCACAGCATTTGCTTTAAAAGCCATGTTTTATGTTTTGACAGGCACAACACTGACTTTCTGTTTACATCCACCAGCCAGTAGAGGGCACCACTGCAGGTTGACAAACGGTCCGCTCAGCACAGCAAGACTGGCACTGTGGAAAATGGCGGACTCGGCAAGTCAAGCAGCTGCATCTGAGCCCAGAAGATGTCGTCATCCTTCTCAGAAGAGGAGCGACCTCTAAAAGCAGAGCGGAGCCTACGACAGATGGACCCAATTAAAGAATGTCTCGTATCGGCAGAGAGCCTTGCTCTACTGTTGCAACTACAAACTCCACACACTAGATGTCACTTTGGTGTTCGTATCTCATTTTCAACCTTTACATAAAAATTTTTACAAGTTCTAGTTTATTAAAAATCAATCATGTTTTTCTTTTACCTCCTGAAGGTTCCTGCTGCTCCAGATCCAACACATTCTCACACCCAAAGCGTCAAAATATGACGCGTGTGACCAAGCGTCGTCCCAGCGCGTCAGGAGACGACGATCAGGGACACGCAGGGACACATGGACATTATTCGACTATTTAACCTTCCCCTCACCCCAATCCTAACCTTAAGGTCAGTAACTGTGACCTTGAGGTTAGGATTGGGGTGAGGGGAAGGTTAAGTAGTTCACAAGTCGTTCTAATGTCCGTCTCAGCACCGGCGTCGGATACCGACGCTCTGGGACGGTTCGTCATCAGTGTGTCGCTGATCGTCGTCTCCTGACGCGCTGGGGCATCCCGAATCGTCATATACTGACACTTGGTCACACGCGTCGTGTTTTGACGCTTTGGGTGGGAGAATGTGCTGCCAGATCAGGTGACGCTGGCGGCTTTCTTTATTTTCTTATACGAGATAATAAAAACCAAATCCTTGTTTTACCCTCCAGCTTTAAGGAGGTTTTCTGGATTGATGTGGAGCTCAGAGGTAAACACACTGGTTCCAAGCCAGCAATGGCCAAATCTCCTTCTATAAGACCTTAATATGATCTCAGCACCAAACTGATCTTAGAGCAGCTTCCTCTGACTGGTTTTTACCCCCCAGTGTCTCCTGCTGACCCCGGGAGGCCTGACTCATGTTTGTAATTAAATGAGATCCATCATGGAGGTAAAGAGCAAACAGCTCATCGACGGGTCAGCAGCTGCTGGGTGATGGGTCTGTTTCAGGGTGGTTTGAAGGTGGAAGAACATCCTAACATGATTACATGAACTTGACATGAAAACCAGGTCTCCAGTTTACAGCTAACTGGTATTGATCTGACACGAAGTCAGGAAGACGAAGCTCTCAGATCCTGACAGGACATTTAACAGGAACACAAACAGATCTGTCTGACTGTGGCTCAAACGTCCGAGGAGGTAAACGACCTCTACGACGTCAGACTGATGGAGCAAGAGGCGGAGGAGTCTCAGCAGCAGCCCTCAAAGAAAACATGAACTTCTACAGAAAGAATTTGGTTTGATGTAAAATCATTTAGTCCTAAAAACCTCAGAAACCCATCTCCTAACCTTGTAGCATCAGCTTGCCCAACAGCAGCAGAAGCTTTTCCTCTTCGTCTGAAATAGGAAACGTTCAGACAAAACCGGTCCATGACTTTGTCTTTTTTAAGATGAACTTCTGTAACTTCATTCTAGCTCTGCGTCTAATTATTCTCCTAAAACCTTCAGCAGAACGTTACATGTGCATTATTGAGTGGATCCTAGCATAGAGATCTGATTTCTCCTCCGTCAGCATCTCTACACAAACTTCCTGTAAACAGTATGTTGAGAACTTTGACTTATCATTTTAAAATGTTCGGAACAGAAAGCCATCTTACATTAAAACATTATCTTATCATCACATGGCGCATGGGGGGGGGGGGGGGGGGGGTTCTGGAGTTTGGTAAGCGGGTCTCCAAACCTGAGAAATTAGAACTTCGCCAGCAGGTTTGGAAGCATGAGACTGCAAAGAGAATCAAGCCAACAGCAAGCCCAATCCATGATGAATGTAGTTCATCTAACTTTAGCTGGATGCAAAACCAGGATCTTACCGGGCTTCAGCGCTTGGTGAAAGTTTGTCTCAAAAGGTTTGTAAAGGGGTTTCCTAGGGTGCGCCTCAGGGTCTCACGCTCGTGTTACTGGAGTTTTGGGCAAAATGTTTGAGAACAATTTTCCCTGTAAATAATTAGTCATCAGCAGAGTCTGGAGCGCATCATAGTTTCTGAGTCCCAAAATAATAATGCAAGACAACTGTGGGAGGAGCTGTAGACCAAATGGAGACACTGTGAAGGCACGTAGCAAAGAGAATATTTACACGACTGAAACATCGTGCACCCCACGTGATCCACTGAGATGAAAAAACGTATTCACGACCGCGAGCACCAAACCAGTTGAGAATTTCTCATGGTTTTATCCCCAACAGTCACAGTCTGGCCTTGGTTTAGGCTCCTGATTGAAACCGGATCTTTGTTCTGAGTGATGGATCACATCAAGTTCCAGGTTTTCGATTCCCAGCTGCTGAGCTACAGCTATTTTTACGCTTTTCCTCTGTTTTAAAAAGGCTTCTCCATTCAGAAGCATGGAGAAAATCCCAGAAAACCACTGAAATATCAAACATTGGGGTGTTCAATTCAATTCAATTCAAGTTTAAAATCATGACAAGAGTCGTCTCAAGGACCTTCACATAATAAACATTCCAATCCAGGTCAGTTCATTAAGCCAATCAGAAATAATGTTTCCTATATAAGGAACCCAGCAAATTGCATCAAGTCACTGACTAGTGTCAGTGACTATACAGCAATCCTCATACTAAGCAAGCATAAAGCGACAGTGGAGAGGAAAACTCCCTTTTAACAGGAAGAAACCTCCAGAGGATCCTGGCTCAGTATAAGCAGCCATCCTCCACGACTCATCAATATACAAAGGAAGAACATTCTGAGCAGAAAACCGTCTCAAAGTAACTTTCGTCTGGTATTAGGTCAACGTTTCTGACACATGACTGAAGTTTTGCAACAACAGGATCTGGAATATAGGGATACACTCTAAATCCATATCTACACTGTTATTGGTTGATTTTAGTCATTTTATAACACAATATTGATCCGATATTAAAACTTGGCCAACATTAAAAAGCAGTGTTTTTATTTCCATCTGGTTGCTGTTTGTGTGTGTTTTGGGGTTGGGGGCTTGGGGGTGTGACCATGATGGTGATGCAGTATCGAGGGACTGAAGCACAGATGCATCATCTGTGGTGTGGTTGCTTTATAAGAAGAAGAAGAAGAAGAAGAAGAAATAATAAGAACAATGATAATAATAATAATAATCATCTACATGTTTATGTTTACAGGTGCTGGCCAGTAAATTAGAATATCATCAAAAGGTTGAAAATATTTCAGTAATTCCATTCAAAACGTGAAACTTGTACATTATATTCATGCAATGCACACAGACCAATGTATTTCCGATGTTTATTACGTTTAATTTTGATATTTATAGGTGACAACCAATGAAAACATCAAATCTGGTATCTCAGAAAATTAGAATA